GGAAGTCAGTTTTCTCAACCTAGAACTTCCTTGCACTTTACCTGAACCTCTTTCATGTCCCCGATCACTTCCTACCTTTGGATATACATGTCCAATCTGGCCCTCTAGCTCTGTGTGGGTAGCATGTATAGTTATTTAATTCTAGACTTCCTCAGAGTCATCAGCACTGTGCTTTCTATATTGTCTACCTCCAAATATTTGCCCAATGAAAATATACCATATCAAGTTTAAAATGAATTCTTAAATATCCAGTCTTGGTGCTTATGCTCATTCAGTACCTTTGATCTGTTGGCGTCAAATGATGCTTTGAAATGCAAACACAATAAATCATGATATAATTCCCCAAAGAGTATGCATTCCCTGCAGCACAGGGTTATACGAGGCATTAAACAAGCTTTTGTTTTCTGTTTGATTACTCTGATCAAGATATTTTCACTGCTCCCACGACTGTAATTTCTGCTATTGAGTCCCCATCCTCTTTCCTTACTTCCTTGTTTTTGTCCCTTCCCTTTTTTCTGCTCATCAGTCTCTCTCCTCTCCTCACCTTCCCTCTCTCCTCTCATTTCTCCCTATTGCTCTCTCTTCCCTCCTTCCCATATCTACCCTTTTTCTTATCTCCCATGATCTTCTTTTAATTTCTTTGAAGCTTGTCCCAATCCCTTCTCTTTTTTTCTTTCTTCCCTGTCCCTGCCTTCTGCTAGCGGGTTCTAGTCTTTCAACCCTGTCCACGGTGCTGAATGTTAAGTAGAGCGATTTAGTATTTAGCCCATTGTGCTGGCTTATGACACTTCTAAAACTCTGCACAATCTGACTACCCTATCTGACCATCACACATTGTACACAGCTATCAAAAGCCAACTTTGTACCCCACATATATGTATAATAAGTTATCTTTAAAAAACATAAAACTCTGCAAACAAGACATAGCTGATTGTAAGGGACTGAGTTCCTATTATGTAGAAATCAACAACATTGACTGGAGTACATATTAGTTATCAACCATTTTGACATAAAACTCTGCAAACAAGACATAGCTGATTGTAAGGGACTGTGTTCCTATTATGTAGAAATCAACAACATTGACTGGAGTACATATTAGTTATCAACCATTTTGTATGTTGTTTGTTTTACATACCTTATCGCCGTATTTGAATATGTTACATTGTAGTTAGAAATAATCGGAGCCAGAAAAGAATCCTTTATTAGCATAGGGAATTGGGTTTGCCATAATTTATTCTATCAAAACTTTGGAAGATTTGGGTACCTCAAATCTGTCTTTCCTTGGTAACATGTACATTTCCTACCTAAGCAGGTCAAAATTTTGCCAAACATATGAGAAGTTTTATAAACCATTTTTTTTGTAATTTATTTGATCTTTTGGTAATTATTTTTGCTACAGGAAAATAAGTGAGAGAGATGAGCCAAAAGCCAGCATTAGTCGGTACAGATCTGATGACACTTTGGACAGGTAAGGTGTTTTTGAACCATGTAAGTGGAATGCATGACACATATTAAATTCCATTTTTCATAAAGCTATGAGATATTTAAGTGTTTACCAAAATAAGCTTTGAATCATTGACATTTTATCCCCAGGGAAGGAGGGCTATCAGGATTGAATTATCTTCTTCAAAACTCACAAAATCTTGACTAAATACACTATTTTCCTAAAATCCTGCTAATAGTAGATTAATATAAAAACTTCTGAGAGACACTGATTTGAGTACAGGCAGGGTTGATACTGCGTGGAATATGTTAGTTTAATATAAAATGGAGAATATAGTTATTTTTGCAAATCTGAATAGTCCTTGTTCCAGTATTTGGTTCTTCCATCCTGATGGTGGAGAAACAGCCATTTCTGTCCAACCATGGAGAGACTGTACATTTTAATAACACAGTAGTTTTGATCTACTCTAGGGTAAAGACATTTGCTCTTTTTATATAAAGTGAAACTGTTCTTTTGGCACTGGAGTCACTATATGGATTATAGAATGAATCCATTATATTGTGATTGTTATTAGTTCACCCTTACATGGAAGTAAAGGGTTCATCTCTATAGAGAAAATTGAGTAACTTTTGTTTAGGTTGAAGTATAAATGCTACAAATCACATTTTTAGTTTAGGTTTGGTAGAGATATTTAGTAAGTATAAATAAAGGGCAAAGTTAACATTTTAAAATAGGATTTTAGGCACAATGAACACCCAAGGCCAGTGACAGTTGAATCCACTCTGTGTAGCTAAAGATGTGTGGCTATTGTAGGCAAAAATGGCAGCTACTGGATTTTAAACAGGCATGCTGAAACTCACAGCATCTGATAGACTCTATAGTCAGACTACTCCTGCACTATTTCCAGGTGTTCAAGTCAGTCTCGCTAATAGAGGACAGTCAACACTGGTATGCTAAAGAGTTGGTCTCTCACTTTTAATTATCAGCCTTGTCAAAAATGAGTGTGTAGAAATATATGTGCAAGATCTCATCTCCACAGCATTGTGCAGAGAAGAGATAGACAAAACACTTCTGTCCATTCACCCTGGCTTTGCAGACTGTCCTATGGCACAGTTAATTGAAGAAGAAAACTCTATTTCCAGGAGCGAATTTTAAAGTGAGATAATTAAGCCTCAAGAGAGGGAGATGCGTGGGAGACCTAGGCTTTTGCAGGCTGTGTATCTGAAAGTTTATGTCAGGCCAGTCAAGATACAGCCTTGGAATGTTAGACATGGCCTAGACCTCACAGGCAAACTGGCTGAGTCATTCTCAGGTCATTCCAAAATGTGAGACATGAAATAATTTTAGGCGGAAAACGACTAAATATATTTGGTGTGTGGGCATATGCATTTTAATAATAATGCATTTGTTTCAATGAATATAAGAAAAGTACTGAGTTTATATTTGAAGAGTTCCCTTTTAACATATAGTATGTGGGTAGAAATATGAGGTGTGCTAAATAAACATAAATTAGTAATAATTTTGTAGAATGCAGATATGGCCGAAATCCTGAAGGCGATGGAATGACTAACTTGAAAAACCTAGGTTAGGGAGCCCCCTAGTGTTCTGTTGCGGAAGTATAACTTTTCCTTTATGGGTTTCTTTTTTTAAAAAAACCATATGGATAATTATATTATTTCCTGTCTCCAAGACCGATTGCTACGAAGACAACCTATTTCGTACCACAAGTTGGCAGAAACTTAATTTTCAGGAGAAATAAAAAATTAATGTTTGTCCGCAATAAAAAAATTGACATATGTATTGGAAAGGCGATTTAGAGTTCTCTTCGTTACTATTGACAGACTTATCCCCCTAGCGGCGTGGAAGAGATTGTGAGAGGTGAAGAATAATAACTAAAGGAAGATATGTTAACCTCATACAGTACATGAGTTTGGGGGACAATCATACTACAGAATCAGATGCATGACATTGGGCCCCAGTGAAAAGACTTTGGAAATAGACTTCTTCCTAGTTGTATGGCCAAGAGATAGTCACCCAACTTCTCTGAGATTTCAATTCATTGTCAACAAAATAAAAATACTTACACCTCCTTGTAGCGATGTTCTAAAGAGTAGAGAAAATACATGAAATGACCAGCAAAGAGTAGCAGGTAGCTATTTTTATTATTACATGTAATATTATCCAAATGGATTTACACTGTGGAATTTTTATTAACTTCATTTAATTTCAGCATCAGAACTTACCTTGAGAATACTTGATATTAAAGTTTTATTTACTTTAAACAGAGTGTTTTCAGCGCACCAGAGTAGCAGTTTTCCAAACTTATTTTTATCTTATATGAGGATCTTATAGCTATAAAGTCTGAGTGAGGTTTCCAAGGAACATTTAAGATTTAAGATTTCTGATTACCTGACATCTCATCTATTCACAGTGATTTACTGCAGAGTCCTTAAAATCTGAATATCTCAGAGGTTCAGAGTCTTCAGTTAATATAGGGAATATGATCCTAGTGTTTGGCCTGATGACCCCCCTAAGACTTGAATTTTTTTGTACGTGGGTTCTAGGGTTCTGTATAAGTTACTGCCTGTATTGTGAACAGTCTGTGGCGAATATGGAACTCTGGAGTATTGCAACCTATTATTCATCCTCCCTTTTTGCATTCAAAAGTTTGCAGTTTGTGGTCTTATGTACCATAAACAGAAACTGCGTTTGCGGTTGACTCACAGAAATGTAATGTATTAGAGTGATTATCCAATATTTTAGTTACACATGCCAAAATGACATCTAGGGATTAAATTATCTTTAGTTTGTAGCAATGAAGTCATATTCCCCCCCCCCACACATTACATTTTATTTAGAGAGAGGCAAAGTCAGTGTTCATCTTGGCTGGAATGGTTTATGCCCTCCACATTACATTTTATTTAGAGAGAGGCAAAGTCAGTGTTCATCTTGGCTGGAATGGTTTATGTAAAGCCTGTCCTAAAGTTGATGGTAAAAATGAAAGTGTAGGGAAAGTAATGGTAGACCCATAGCGTGATATCAGTGGAAGAGCTTTGCTGACCTTTGTTTTCCTGAGCCTAACTTTGCTACGTCCTGGTTTCGTGAAAGCTTGCAGAATGCTTCAGAAGACAGCTGCAGGTCTTAGGAGGAAACTTTTATTTGTTATGAGGCAAGGAAGGAGTGAACAGGGGCTGAAGTCATGAGACCCCACATGGGCATGAAATGATAGCATTCCTAATCTGTGCTTCCTGACCCAAGGGGCAGACAAATATACCTTTTCTAAATCTATCCTCTTTGAGGAGACCTGAGATTAGAGGGATCAAAACCTCTGATTGCCATTAGGGCCTATAAACTAAATGTATTAGTCAAAGTAAACTAATTTATAAAGTAGAGTAACTGTTTCAATAAGTCTCCTTTCTTCTCCAAATTTAGGTGGGTTAACGCAATAGAAGGTACTCCTGCACTCATCAGATGTGATTTGCTGGAGTCCACACAGTGACTCAGTGACCTTAGTTCTTTCCGTGTTTTAGTGCTGCCATCTTCAACCACAGGCACCAAAGCCATAGTGAAGGGAAAGGAAGAGCATGGAAGACTTCACAGGAGATTTTATGATGGGCCTGGAAGTGGCAAATAACATCCTTTAGTCTAGAGCTTAATCACACGGTCCCAACTTAATTGCAATGGAGGTTGGGAAATGTGGTTTTCCTGTGTACTCAGGAGAAAAAGAAAATGAGTTTGGCAAATGCATAGTATTGTCCATGCCACAAAACATTATTAACAAAATAAATACTTAAGTATTCCAGTGATGCCTTTTACTGACATAGGAAGTACTATCATTGACTAGATATATTACTAGGCAATAATGAATATAAAAATGGTTGAGTTAAATGCTCAATGAACCAGAAAGGCAAACAGGAAAAAGGCATAATACTTTTAAAATTCCAAGCTTTATCAAAATAGCCTCATAAGTAGATTCTGTCATAAGTAGCTTTTTTTTTTTTTTTTTAACTGTGAAATTTTCTATAACTTAACACCTGAAAAACAAACTGGAGAGAGGTTATGTTGTGAAGTTATTCTAGCATGAAAGAGGTCTGAATGGAGTTTAATAATCTAAATGTTTATCCAGACTTTTATCTTGTTTCTTTATAAAGGATCTCAGACAGAAATGATGCTGCTAAAACAGATAAGGCCAATACCTTGGATAACCGACTAACCAATAGGTATCAGTATCTACTAACTTTGTGAGAGGCTCAAATATAATGTTTTTCTAAGCATTACTTATTTACTTACAGTTCTTCAGTCCTACTTAACATCCTCTGTAAATTCTCATCCTCTATATTTTTAACACAAAAGTTCCAGAGTGAAAACCTTTACTCCAGCTCATGGCTAGAATAAATTCTTGTTTGGCTTAAAAACCAAGAGAGCTCACTGGTTCAGGTCGTCATTGTTACCACACTTATGCTTCTCTTTGAGATGTCCTGGTGACAAGATTATGAAATACATGCAAATGTAAATTCTACATTCCTATTGCTAAAGAAAATGACTGAACCCAACAAATAAAAACATTGGGCTTTAAAAGATACTGAATTTACTGAAGAAAAAAAAATCCAATTGGAATCTAGTACAAGAGATTAAAAAATTATGAAATCACCTTATTAAATTTATTCAAATATTGATGCTTTCTTTTTCTTTCTCTCAAGTAATATCTAGCTTTTAATAATAATAGCTCTAAATTCATAGACAATTGCAAATAGATGCAAATGTTAATTCTTCATTGGTACTCAAACTTTGCCTTTTTTCCCCCTCTCTTACCAGAAGCACGTCCACATTTACCAGAAGATCACCAGAAGCAACAAAGTCGTATGTACTTTTCTAATTGAAGTTTATTTCTTTGTGTGTGTTCAAGAAAAGCCAGGGTCTACCACCCTTGGGCTGAAGTTTCATGGGAGGGCTGCCATGCAGAGATGAGTACTAGACAGCTCTGAAATGGTCTGCAAAGGTTCGAGTATTTACTATGTGGACTTTTCCAGAAAAAGTTTACTGGCCATCGCTTTAACCAAACATCAAAGCTTAGGTCACCTGTTTCTTCTTTTTTGAAATCTAGACTCTTTACTTTCCCCCACATTCCTACAGCACTTATTTTCTTCCTCTACACCTCACTTTCCTCCCCAAACACCCTTCACATCTACAAATCCACCTTTGGAGAATATTGAGTCATGAAATCATGGGTCTGCTAACAACCTATTTAGATGAACTACATTTTCCCTGGAAGGTACTACTGGTGGTTATAAACAGCCAAGTTAGGTAGATTTTAAAACTTAATTTGTTTTTAAAATTGTATTTATGCATAAAGTAATTTTTCACACTGGACTATACCTCTCAGTGCTTGAAACAGGCCTAGATCACTTCCATTTTGTAAGGGTATGCATATATTAGTAAATGCTAAATAGAGATTTAAAATGGTGTAATATTTGGATTTTTCTCAGATGAATGCTTTTAATGCCCTGAAATTACACTATGATTCTGTTAACACAATATAACATCAGGATTAAAAAAATATGAATCCATAGCACACCAGAATTGATTGGTCTGAATTTCAAACCATTAGCATCGTATGATGAATGACTTCTTTATTCAATTCCTTCCGTGTTAGCTAGTTATATGAGAGCCTGACAATTTATAGGTAACTAATAAATAGGTAAACTAAGGAAGAAGATTTTTGTTGTTCTTCCATCTTCAAGTGAAACATTTTGCAGTAAATAGAGAGCAAGAAGGAGGATGAGTAGTTTACGAGACCTTTCCAGGGTGGGGAAGAATGAAGAAGTTTGAGGAGCGTGTTGATTAATGTTCTTGTCATTCAACAGGCGACTCCTCCTCCTCTGACCTCCCCTGTGTGGCCTCCCAGCTCCGCCTGTGATGAATTTCATGTCTCTAGGACGCATGAAGGAGTAGAGGCTCAGGGTGGCAGAACATTCTTCATGAGACAGAGCCTGATGATGGAAGAGATTTTCATATGGTGAAGAGACACAGTGCCAGTGAATCATGATGCAAGTGGAAAACAAGCATTCATAAACACCACTTTAATTTTCCTCTTTTCTTGTCCAGCACCTAGGACCATGCCTGGTCTAGGGTTGGTGCTTGGTGTTTGTTGATAGACTGGCTGACTTTACTGTGGTGCTGTTGTAGTCCTCCTGGAGAGAAATGACTGACTGTCTTTATTTTTCCTGCAGTCGGGATTCTGTTTGTATCTGCAGAGACTCAGAAAATGTGATTCATTTTCCTTTGAACCCAAATTTCACATCCCCTTGACCCTTTGTTAAAAACTTATTCCTAAGGTTGGAAGAGAAATTAAAGGTCAGTTGGTTCAATCTCCTAAAGGAATCTTACCTCTGACAGATCAGGTGTAATTCGGGACCACTGGTGGCAGCAGTAAGACTCTCACATTTTGTGATACACTTGGGCCTAGCTCTATTGGGTAGGTAACATCTACTCCTTTCACTGAGCTGAAATCTGCCTTGATTGACTCCTACCTGATGCTAGTTCAGTCCTGTGGCTTCAAGAATTTAAAGCCAGATCTCCTGTCCTCTTTATCCCAGCCTTTCCTTCTCTAGTCTGTTTCATTTTCCTCTGAACATCTTCATTTTTGGTCCGTATCTTAGTCTTTTTCACAGAGCCCTTAGCTATGTCCTTAAAATTATGTCTTAGTAACATGAAGACATCTTTCTAATTACATGTATATATATGTATTTATACATAAATATGCATACCTATACAGTCGTTCCTCCATATCTGTGGGGCATTGGTTCCAGGACCCCCAAAGATAGCAAAATTCCTGAATATTTATGTCCCTTACATAAAATGGCATATAGTATTTGCATATAACCTATGCATGTTCTCCCATATACTTTAACTCACCTCTAGATTATTTGTAGTACCAAGTACAATTTCTACACATCATTTCATTTGGGTGTATTCAATATAGTACTTAGCATGCTTCAAATTCAAATTTTGCCTTTTGGAACTTTGTGGAATTCTTTTTTTCTAAATAGTTTTGATCCATGGTTGGTTGAATCCATGGGTGCAAAACCCACAGATATGGAGGGAAGACTGTATCTACATACCTATATATACAAAATTGAGGTTTGCATTGCTTTGGTGTTTGTTTTCAACATTCTTACTTCACAGAGTTTTCTATCCCACAGTTTTTTTATACTTGGAGTTGAGCATAAGATTGTTGTCATTTCTATTCTAAAATACAAGGGTCTTCAAAAAGTTCACAGATTTGTATTATGTTTCAATTCCATTTTCCACAAACTTTTTGAAGTACCTTGTAGTTTAGATATGCAGAAAAAGAGAGAATAATGTGATAGATACCCACAAAGCTACTAAAGAAATGTCCACATTGTTGAGCGTCCAAGGGAATGAGAAAAAGAGTTTACTTGGGGGAGCAGACAGCCTGGAATATAGACAGTGACTCCTCATTTCACTTAGTGTTCACTAGTGTTCACACAAGGCCTTCTGTGAAAGTAATCTCATTGCCTTCTTAACTGTCAAATTATTTTCAGTTTTTCCTGATAGATACATGGGTGGGATCAGTCTTTTAAGCACCATGTTTTTAACTGATGCTATTTCTTAACAGACAGTCCTGGTTCCCACCGCCCCCTCCAGGTTATATTGCCACCCCAAGCACAGGAGCCAGCAGAAGGTAAGAAAAGGTGTCGGATGTAATTGCTATGCCATTGGGTGGAAGAATGTCAATTTGGATATTAACAACATGTAATTGTGGATGCTTTGGAATAAATTGGAGATAATTTTGTGAACAAGACAGTGCCCAGTGGGAGTGAGGTCAGGGCTACAAGTGCCCGTGTTAAGAAATATGACAAGCTACAGGGAGTATGTAGAGGGCTGTATTAGTTTGCTAGAGCTACTGTAACAAGGTGCCATAGGCTGGGTGGCTTACAAAACAGGAACTTATTGCCTCACAGTTCTGGAGGCTAGAAGTCCAAGGTCAAGGTGTGAGCAGGGTTGTTTCCTTCTGAGGGCTGTGAGAGGCAGTCTGTTCCATGTTCTCTCCTCACTTCTGGATATTGTTCAAAACATGGAGCCTACATTCATGCCTTTAAAGAAGCATGTTCTACTAGTGTAGAACTCCTATAATTTATATCATCGCTAACACAGAAAAGAAAAATAGGTCTTTGATTTGGTTTGGCTTTCAGATATCCAAAAACATATTTATGTTTCAACGTCTAAAAGATCTTCACCAAATATTTCCACATTTCAATGGGATTTGTTATCCCAATTCCAACCATTAGAAGACAGAGTGTTATTAAACTATGTACTTAACATTAGATTGGTTTGTTTTCTAAAAGTTTCATCTACCTTGCAGACTTCTAATGTCTCTTTCATTTCCAAATAATGGAGATAATTGGAAATAAATGTCCTTTATTATAATTTAGGTTGGATCTATAAGGATGTAAATGAACTTCAGTTGGTCAATAGACCCAAAGAGCTTAAGTTGCTTTTTTCACACCCATCATTGCATTCGTCTTTATATATATATATTTCTAAATCAAATTATTAAACATGTCGAACAATCACAACTTGGAATCATATCCACCTTCTGTTAAAATGTTTTCTTTTTAAACCTGCCCATCTACAGGTGACTTCCAATTATATAAACTGCCAAGTATGAATTGTACTTCCAGTTAAAAATGTTCTTTCCCTTCAGGCTGTTATCAGCTATTTTTCTTTGGGTGAAACCTTTTATGGAGCTACCTAAGTAGAAAAAATGTTAACTGGGAGTCCTGCTAGTTACAATTTTTTTCTGACTATTGTAAAATCCATCCAATTTCATCTTTTTTTTTTTTCCCTTTTTTTGCCTTTTTTTTCGTGACCGGCAACAGATCACAACCCTCAGTGTCGCGTCCGCACCTTGCTCAGCCAGTGAGCGGGAACCGGTCTGTATGTGGCCCCTTTTTTTGCCTTTTTTTTTGTGACCTGCAACGGATCGCAACCCTCAGTGTCGCGTCCGCACCTTGCTCAGCCAGTGAGCGGGAACCGGTCTGTATGTGGGATCCGAACCCTCGGCGGGAGCGCCACTGCGCTCCCAAGCGGTGCACTGTAGCAGTGCACCACCGGGCCGGCCCCAATTTCATCTTGATAGATAATAACTGATACTTTTCTTAGAAATATGTATTACTTATTTCCAGAATAGCTTCTTATTTTCATCCTCCATTCATGATTCCAATATTAATTTAAATTATCATTATAATAACCAACTGGTTATATAACTGTGTAAAAATATAGAATGATTATTCATGAGTTAACATCTCATGCTTTCAATGCCTGTTGAGCTTTTAGAAGTGACAGTGCTTGGCTCTCTGCCATTATCATTTATGCATTGCTGGATGTGATTTACATGGAAGATAAAATGAGTTACAATGCTCCTACCTCCGATTCCTGGCTCAGATCCATAGTACTGCAACTAAAGGAAAAGAGGAGATGATTGGGCTAGGTTGATCAGTTTAGATATCCATTCCTTTTTAAGAGTAATGGATTATTAATACAATGGCTAAACTGAAAGACTTTTCTTTGAGGATCAGAGATAATGTCATGCCAAGCTTTCAGGGAAAGAAGAGAATAATAACAATATAGCAATGCCTTTGATTTCTAAAGTGCTTTTCTTTGAAAGAGCTCAAAGTACAGCTTCTGTTGCTTACCTTTAATGCCAGTGCACTACCAGGGCTGAGAAATAGCCTTTTTTAGTAAATGCTGAAAAATAGAAGCAATTATTAAATGATGAAAGGGAGTAAAGTCTTCAAAAAGAGATCTTTGTCCTCAGAGGAGCCTAGAGGAAATGAAAATAGGTCAAAAACAGATCAAAAAAAATGGGGGACTATGATTTTTAACACTAGCTAATAGCTCAGGGCTAAACTTATTTCCCTCTGTTCTTCACTAATACACTGCTACCCCTCTCTTCTTTCTCTCCCCTCCCATCTTTAAAAACCTTCCCCTTAATACTGACACCCTTACTCACTTTTCTGTTTTTTATTTTGTGAGTCTTTATTTTTTCACTGCCTAACGGATTATTAATACAATGGCTAAACTGAAAGACTTTTCTTTGAGGATCAGAGATAATGTCATACCAAGCTTTCAGGGAAAGAAGAGAATAATAACAATATAGCAATGCCTTTGATTTCTAAAGTGCTTTTCTTTGAAAGAGCTCAAAGTACGGCTTCTGTTGCTTACCTTTAATGCCAGTGCACTACCAGGGCTGAGAAATAGCCTTTTTTAGTTTTATGTATGATATACTTTAGTATTGCAATGAAAAGGGTTCAGATCTGGGTGATCAAACAAAATTTTGGAGTTAAGAATTGAATATCTTCGAAAGCCTCTTGCCCCACTTTTGATAAACATTAAAGAGAGAAGCTGTAATTTATGACAGCAAGACACGGTATGTAAAGTTTTGAACTTAAATAAAACCTTTCTTCCTCATAGCTGATTTCTAAGGTAGCTTTTTGGTTACTGTGTGTTCAGTCATTGTGATGTAAATGTTCTCTGTCTTTTTCCTTCTCTTGCTGAGAATGGAAATAAACAGAATAATGTTTTGAATTATCAAGGTATGCCAGCGAGATTATCCTTTGAAGTTTTCTTATTATGTGCCATCAGAACATACATTTTCATTTCTTTTTAATCAAGACTGAGTCAAAATTTTAGCTTTATGACTGTTATTACTCATTACATTCATCTGTCTCTCTTCGAACCTCTCTGATCTAACCCGTTTCACTGGTTTCCCCCTTTTCCATGTTCAAATCTCTTTCATCTTAAAAAAATAGCCTCCTAAAAATTTGATAGCCTAATCTTGCAAATCCACTCAGCTGGCACCTTTTCTCTCTTTCCATCACAACCAACATTCTTGGAAGAGTAAATGATGCTTTCCATGTTTATTTTCGGGTTCCTATCACCCTTAGTTCATGGAAGCAGCTCTCCCCAAGGTCATGACTTTGCTAATAAATCATTGTTGATGTGTCAGTCTCTGTAACTACTTGACCCTTCAAAATGCACCACTGACTACTCATGCCTCTATGAAATCTCTCTTGTTATCTTTTGAGAACCAGCTCCCAACACACCCTTCTGGATTTTTTTTTTTTTCTCTAGCCATTCTTCCTCAGTCTACTTTGCTACCTCATCATCTCCTACCAAGCCACTAAATGTTGATGTCCATGAAGGCTCAACATCCCCCTTCTCTTCTCTTCTTGTTCTGTGCTCTTTGCTTCAGCAGCAGCGTCTCTCTGTCTAGGGCTTCAATGGCCATTGGTATGTCTGGACTCCTTCATTTCTATCTACTCCAGACCTCTTCTGGGAGCTACTTTTGGGTAGCCAACTGCCTCCTCGACACCTTCACTTAAATATCTCAAAAGCACTGCAAATTGAACATGTTCAAAATGAAATGCATAATTTACCATTCTAACCTGTTCCTCTATCTCAGTTAACAATACTTTCCTCCAGCCAGTTGGCACCCTGAAAACTTGAAGGTATTTTTTACATATTTTTCTCCTTAACCATAAATATTCACTCCATTAGTAAATCCTGTCAATATATCTCCCAAATGCTTTTTTAATTTATGTATCTCTCTCCATTTCTATTATCTTTATCATGTCTCTCCTGGACCACCATGACAATAGCTACCTCAAAATTCCCCCTTTGTTCACCCTGATACCTACCACCCACTCCCCATTTCTTTTTTACACAGTTGCCAGAGTGATATTTACAAAAGCATAACTAGAACTTATCACCTTCCTGCATAATAATTATAATGATTTTCCATTGCTCTTAGAATAAAGATCCAATTCCTTAGTATTGATGCCTGGCCCTACCTGCACTCCATCCCTCATACTCCCCTTCACTCTCTGTTCCAGTTACTGAATCTGTTTTAAATGCACTGAACTCCCATCTTCTGTAGACCCTTAGCATATATGTGTCCTTCTATCTGGAAGCTGTCTTCTCCCCCATCTGAGGCATTAAGTTCTTGTGACCATGTTTAAATCTGATTTCTCTTCCAGATTTATTTTTGGTTTTCCTCTATTCCATTCTCTCAGCTCCACACTAACCCAGCAATAATAGTTCCCTTGATTGTGCAAAGGTTTGTGGGTTGACAGGAGTGGTGGCGACGCACTGCGGAAGCCCAGACCAAACTATGTAAAATGGAGTATTAGAATCCCTGGTTACGTGTTCTTTAGCCATCCTTATGTGGATGCTTCAAAAACGTAGTGGAAAAATTGAATTAAAAGATAATAAGAACCTTTCCATGAACATTTCAAAGTGCCCTCGTATCACTGGCATTTCTCATTGGCTGACATTTCTCTATGCCTTACTGCATTGCTGTTTTACTCAGCAGCTTCTGTCTTCCATTTCCCATTTTCTTTTTTTTCTCACCCTGCCCCATTCCTGTAACTTATGCCAGTCATCTTAGTTTTTTCCTTGCTGTACCAAGCTGACCTTAGAGAATCTCATCCTCATAACCAAACATGATGCTATACTCACTCCTCGAGAGGCATTCTATGCTACCTTTTAAAATAAAATTATTTTCTCATGTCACAATAATATAAACATTCAGTCACCCCCACACCTAAAACATCAAAACTATCATTGACCTCTCTCTGTCTTCCTTACTCCCCTTATTCAATCATTACTGCAGCGAGTTCG